TGAGCATTCACATGGGCTGATGCTGAGTACGTCCAACGAATACCTAATAAGAGTTGCACTTGAGACACACCTTGGAGTGGCTGCCAATGTGGTGCATGGACCTGGTGCATTGTTGCAGGGTTTTCAACAGCCCCATCACATCCTCCCTGTGGGATGGGAAGAGCTTGTCCAGCAGCAGCATGGCATGCCTCAGGAAGAGCTCAATGAAGATGCCGCCATACTGAGGACAGAGAAGATGGAAACATGGAATGCCCAGCGGATAACGGGTTGAGAGTAAACTCTCATCTGCAACACACAAGTTGCAGTAAATATGTAATGAACCGAAATGTAAGACTTAGCAGCATCACTCTTTGAGATATGCTGTCATTAACTCCAGTTCAGTATGTTCGATTTTGTCTTATTCAATTAAATTCAACATGCAGGAAAATGACAGATAAAACAATTCAGAAAAGCTGTCGTCTACACAATGCAGCCCTGTCAAGGGGGGATCCAAAGAAGTCCGTTACAGGAACAGTACTTTATTAACGCTCAATATTTGTCAATTCCTGCCACATAAACAAGAGGAACGAGCAATAGTGACATACATGTATAATGCCACTATTCCAACCAACAAATCCTTTGTCCATATATTTTGTTTTTCTTTTAACCATCATTTTGTATTTTTTTTTTAACAATCCTGGACAATGAGTCCTTTTACCTTCAGAGCAGAGGTCAGATTGGCCCTGGCATCAAACTCCTTGATTAGACTGATTAGGATGTGGAAGACACGGATGGCCATGTTCCACCGGATAAGCCGCTCTTCAGTGAAGCGACCGGGGTCGGATGCCCCCCTGACATACAGATCCCGCAGATAGGTAGTGAGGTGTCCTAACATGATGCGGTAGTAACTCCCAAATGACAATCTGCGAAACAGTCACAAAAAAGACGAAGACAAAAACTGCTGGAATCATTTCATCTGTGTGCCTGGCGCGTACGTTTGAAGAGAAATCAGTCGCACATGCTCAGCAGATCCTGCGCCGAATGCACAGCAACAGGTGCGTGTACACATGAGTTCCCACCAAAAGACTGTGGGTTGCTATGTGAAAGCACGCTCTCTCTTGCTCCCCGACGGAGTGAGTAACAAAACATGATATTCAGTGTCTGCCAAAGTGTGCACAGAATGGCACAGCGCCCTCTTGCACTCACGCACAAAGCCGTTGCCCAACACAGAGTGCTGTACCAAGCTTTCCTCACGGTCAACCCTTACCTGCTCAGGGTGGGAAAGGTTGTGGAGTAGCCTGTCCTGTCGTTGCTATTCATTAGCTCCGGCATTCCCACTGTGCAGATGTCCTGAATGCTCTTCAGCACATCAGGCGTGTGGCACAGGTAGATGCTATAAAAAAAGCAAAAGATTTTACAAATTCATGTTTCTAGAAGACAGCTACTTTAACTGCAGTGCATCTGTGTCCCCCGTGCTTTGAAGAATACACTCTCCTGCAATGAGGACGCAAGCACAATTGAACAACGAAGGACAGGACAGCAAACTGATCTTTCAGTAATCTGTAATCCTAACCCTGACATCATCGCAAAACCATTGCAATGCGTGTTGTTTTCATGCTGATCCTTTGGGAGTTTTCCATTAATGTCTTACAGTCATTTTGACACCAATTTTATGAAAAATGGACAAAAACGTTCATTTTTCCCAGGAAGGTTGACCCCAAATGTTCTCAGTATATAAGGTAGGGGGTCAACACAGGTGAGAGCATGAATGTCTGAGGGCATGAATGTCTGAGGGCATGAATGTCTGAGGACATGAATGTCTGAGGACATGAATGTCTGAGGGCATGAATGTCTGAGGGCATTCAAAACTGCAAAGATGTACTCAAAACAATAAGCCATTTGCAAATTAAATTTGAATAAAATCTGGTACAGTGAGTTCTTTAAATTCATGTGAACATACCAACTAGAATTCTCCACACTAAAACCACTGTTGCCATACCTCATGATTCGGGGCAAGCTTTTGCTTAGTTACGTAAGAGACGCCTTGCAATGATACACTGTTCTCAATGGATAAGAACAGCACAAAGGAACCAGTCTACTACAGAGATGGTGGTCGCTACGCAAAAGCTTGCCCCGAATCACAGGGTATAGCAACAGTGTCTATAGTCTGGGGAATTCAAATTGTTACATTTCTGTGCAATCAAATAACACAGTGTACCGGATGTTATTCAAATTTAACTTGCAAGTGGCTTCTTTTCATTGGATGTCTGCCAAGGTCGAAAGGACTGGGTGTGGAACAGCTGAGATCTAAGGCTCCACCCCTGGCTCTTTAGGGTTAAGACTACTTGAAAACATCAAATCGGCACTGCAAAATACATCGTGCATATAAGAAAATAAATGCACTCAACCAATCACTGGTTAAACTTCAAGTCTGCATGAAGATGAATAGATTAATTTCTCTTTTGTCCCATTTCGGGCTACCCGGCTCTGCATATAAACCCATGGTACTCGAAACAGGGTTCCACGGCAGCAGGTGGTTAAAGAGAAAATGTTTGTCAGATAAACTTCAGACATGTGAAGGAATAGGTGACTACTCAGCTGTGGGTTTTGTTCGGCTTAGGTTAAGTTGAGAGGAACGGTTGTCATGGGGATAGATTTATGCCTGGAGTTTTGGTTTGGTCTGAGGCTGGGGTTGAGTTAAGGTTATGTTGGGTCAGAGCTGTATACAGAGAGAGTAGCGCCAACTTCAGACTTTGGAACTAAAATGGCTGTTTATTAAGCATATTAATGCATAAGCCATTGCGACATTGGGTTGGTTATTTGGGTAAAGTATTTTGGCTTGATACCTGAGGAGTGACTGCAGGAGTTCATTGTGCTTGGCACCTTTTTCCGCCTGGCCGTCTTGATCCAGCCACTCTCTCTTCAGGAGCCCTACGGCCATATTGGCTGCAATTAAGAATAAGAATCCCTCCATCATCGTGTAACAACATTTGCATGGTCGCTATTAACCCAACTAAAATACTTTTCCAATATGGCAGCTGATCTTGGGGGCACAGTGTGGTCACCTGGTACCCTGGCACATATTTCAGCATACTTGACACAGGCATCGGAGCAGCGTACCTATGCTTTCATGTTTGTCTGTTGCCTCCGGCAGCTCACTAAGGGAAATGAGGAGTCGAAGGAGGCAAACTGCAGAAGGCAAATCTGGCAGGGTGTCCAAGAACTTCTCCAAGTAGGTGAAGGCATGCCTACAATAAAAAAATGAGAAAAATCAACTGAGTGGAGATCCACAATCAATTAACTTATTTGAGTTTCCAAGTGCTCAGTAAGCAATACATGATTCAAATCTCTGGACACTGGGAGTAAAAAAGATGGAAGTAACAATAAAAAAAAATCACATTTTTCTTTCAGAAAAGTGACATGAACAAGACTCCTTTAATGCCAGAAAATGTGTCATTCAAATTTCTGTTCTTTTTTCCATTCAGGGGAAGTATTCTTGTTGGTTCTGCCCTAAAAGGTTGAAACAACGAGGAAGTTGATTACAGAGCATCGTAAGAACAATGATGTGACCAGTGGCATGTCCAGTTCTAAAGCGGGGCAGCCAAATTCTGAATCAAAATGACTGTCAAATTTTTTCAGTCATAGAAGAGTCCCCTCAAAGAGGTGGCAGTTCCATGTCTAAAATGTTGGCTCTTTCAACTCCTAACCAAGATAAACAAAGGAGCAACTTGGTTTCGGAGGAGAGGGCGGGAGAGCGATGGAGGCAACCCTTACTGCATACGCCACTTTCCACAACTCACTGCAAATGAAAGCTATCGGCAATGTGGACTTACTTGTGGAGTTGTTTAGCTGAGAGCTGTGTCCGGCTGCTGCTCCTGATGCGAGCTGTCAGGACTTTTAAGCCGTCCAAGAACAAGGCCTTGTTCTCGCTGGAGGCGAAGCCACTCCTACCGATGTGATAAGAATACATCCAAGAAAAGAGAATAAAAATCGGCAAAGCTGGGTGCTTTCTAAACCGTCTTCTACAGGTGGTCACATAACTTAGCCTTAGCCAAGAAAGATAGTAACGGTCAAAGAGATCTCAGCAAGTCCTGTAGGCGGCTATGGATGATGTGTGCCCGGAGTCCTCAGGTGCTTGTGTGCCATGTCTAGCCACTGTCAGAAAATCTCGCTCAACGAGGCTGTCTTAGAGTTTCATAAAAAGCGACAATGGGGCACCTAATGCAGCACGGATTTTGTGAAGGCCCACGGTGTCTTGTCGCTTTGAAAACTTGGCAGAAAATAATATGAAATGCCTTGGGAAAGCTCACTGTGGGAAAATACCACCTGCGAGCAGTTCAAGAATGTCACTGGGTTGAGGTATCTTGACAATGTGTGGCAGATACTGCAGCCGCAAAATTCCTTCTTGAGTTATTCAACGCAAGAAGGTAAAATGCCTTATAAACTTTGTTCACAGTAGTTTAAAGCAGTGGCTCAATTGCTTGGAAGTGATCAGATCACAGAAAACATCGGAATGGGAGGTGACCAATCACTGCCATAAATTTAATGATCCAGCTATGAGAGGGACACTTGGCTTTTGTTAGGGATTAGGGAGCACATGAAAACTTGGAAACATTTGCATTCCGTTGGACTTATCTCACTGAAACACTAGCATTCAATCACGTTTCGGCTTTGCAGGGTCAGTCCGCTTTGCGTGTTGACCGCTCTGAGGGAATGCTCCAAAAGGAATGAAAACAAGGCATTCCATAGGGATTTTTTCTCATCCATCCACATTATGAGATGCTCCCTCGTGTGGCCAGATAACTCAGAGTTCCTCACCATGAAAACAGCGACAGCAATGATTTCAGAAGGAGGAGAAGACACGAAGCCATTTCTTTGTATTCGGGCGTGTGGGTACCAGGGCCATCGATGACGCCATCGTTTTCCGCAATTAGGGCCTGTCAAAGGAAAAAAAAACACAATCAAGAAGACATTGCAAACCGCAAAGAATTCTTTTGGCTGTACATTTCTAGGTTTTCTCTTCACAATTTGAATTTCGATGAGGTGATCAAGACAATCTCACCTGCACCTGGTTGCTGCCTGTGGACTTACCACTGTAACTGCGTGAATTCATACACAAGAGCATTTCAACAAACGACAGATACAAAAGGGAAACAGATAACAAGGAGTTTCTGATTCTTGGGATATTCACCGATTATTCTTTAAGATTTTGTCTTTCCGACGAATGAAACGCAAACAAAAAATGCTGGAAAAAGTGGATAAGAACATGACACGCTGCTTACTGCACTGACTGCCTGAACAAAGCATCTGAGGTACCCTTAATTAAGCAGTGAGGCGACAATAACCATACAGTTGCTTCCTGTTTATTCAAAGAATGCACTCCAGATGGAATTTGCATGCAAGTTCACAGACCTTGTACGACTGTATTCAGATTAATATTGTCTGTGAAAGTGAACCCTGAACCTCGGTGGCACTGGACAGGTGTCTTGCCTGAAAGTAGGCGCTGGTTGATTCCAGGTGCTCACAGAGATGAGGGAGCAGCTTGATGGCCTTCTCGGCAATTTCCCGAGGGTTGAAGTGGTTCAGGTGGGAGAATCCAGCATTCCTGTCCGACTTGGTCTTCAGAAATTCAAAACAACATTGAAAAGATGACCATTATGAGTGAAGAAAAAGCAGAATGAGTACTGGAAGTTGGCTGAACTAAATCTTAAAGTATTAATTATGAATGAATCTATTTTGCAATATTTTACATGAATTTGGACCCAATGTCTACTGTTACAAATTAGGATTTTTCGGAACTAAGAAAGTTCCCTCCAACATTTAAGTCTCAACCTTTCTCACTTTTGAGAAAAATTCTCAAAAGAATTCTTCTGATAGACGTTTTATTTCAGCTCCACCTCCAGCCCGCTGTCAACTCTAAATATATCGATTCTCACACTACCATAGTCTGGGGTTCATGTTTGTTGATTCAAAACTCACCAAGCTGGATGTGGATCTAACACCACAAACCTAGAGGGCAAGGCCAGGACTAAGCAAATGTGAAAAATCATAATTCTATTTTCAAATTTTGGATTCACTTCGACTTCAAGTCTACTTTTTTGCTGAAACAGCTAAAAACTCAATCAAAGTTCGGTCTCTTTAAATTCGAGTAGCACAGGTGATTCGCAATGCAGTGTGCCACGAAGAGGCTGTTACGAAGAGGCCTCTTTGCAGTGCATTATAAGATAAAAAGTCGCCAAAGTCTCATTCGCTAACTGTGCTGTGCGTGGTAAACTTGAATTATTTCCAACCATTTATCTTTGTTGAAAATTTGACATTGCTTATTGCGAATGGGTGTCAGGTAGTCAAAATGATAGTTTTGTGTGGTGCAGGGAATGCCTCAATCAATCAATTGTCCCAAATTGCGCATGAAGTCTGCTTAATCACGGTAGTGTGTCGACCGTGAACATGAAAAGTGGCCAGTCTAAAGGAAACTCTTGGTGGCATGCTTTACTGTGAATTGCCCACATATGATTTCAGTATGAAACTTTAGAAATCAAGGACAAGCGGTGGCTCAATACCTTGAGGAAAGTTCTCCTCTTAGAGGCAGACGCCAGCAGGGCGTGGTCCAACTTCAGGCTCAGGTCTTCCAAGAGGAAATGGAGCTCTGGAGGTTGAAGTTTTAGCACCACAACCTCCTGAGAAAAGTTCATAAAAATGACACTTTATGTAACAAGATAATGAGATAGATTAAGCTTCACAGTAAGAAGAGGTACTGTACATTCCATATCTTTAGACCCAGGAACCAATATTCAGTTCAGTGACTACATCTGCATCTTTCACCAGCAACATGGCACAGTCAATAACCATGGTTACAGCTATTGATATCAATCCATGGGGACACCTCTCTTCTTAGCCTTTGATATAACAACTGCTCCATTTCATAGGGATGAATGCAATGTCAGCTGAAACAAAACGCTAAGTGGATACACAAGGTACTTTGGCTGGTAACCCTACTTTAGCTGGTAATCTTGTTTGACTAGCAGGTAGCCTGTTTTGACTGGGGCTAATAACCTGCTTTGCCCAGTAAGAATTTTAGCTGATAACCTGGTTTCACCTAACCTCACCCAGTTTTCAGCCTGTTTAACCTAGGTTTGACAAGTAATGTAGTTTCAGCTGGTAAGCTAGTTTCCATGGGTAACCATTTGAATTAACTTAATCTCTTCAAATCTCAACTCATAAAAAATCCAAAGGTCAAAAAAGGTTACACCTGTTGGATGAGATATGAGGTGTGAAGAATTGCTGCCTGTCAATTCTTACCTTTGTATGCATCTCTGAATCCAAGACACTCCTTGACACCAGACCACAGCCAAGTATGTTGAAGACATCGATGTCTAGCTCCCGGAAGTAAATCCTATAGCGAGCCAAGTCAACAGCACCGTTGTCCATAGACTCTGATCCGCCGGCCTCGCTCTGTGTGGATCTGTTCTGGGATGTGTCGAGGGTCGTGTTCTGGGTGCTGCAGTGTGCCATGGTGTCATTCAAGGCATCAGACTTGTCTGAAGTCTTTTTCTTCTTTCTGTTTCATTGAAGCAAAGCGGATTTACTAAAGCCAACTCCCGGAACATAAAATCCATGACAAAGTTTGTGGAAGACAAGGGGAGGGGGGAAGCCACTACACTGCTTTACATGCGGCAAGTTGATTCTGCATAAAAGCTAAAGTTGAAAGAACATGTTACTGGCTTCCTGCAAATTCTGAAAGGTTTCTAGTAAAATGCATCTGGGATTTTATTGATAAAACCAACATTTTTATTGTGCACGTTCAAATCAAAATTTGCCAGCAGTGCCATATGTGAGAATCATCCTTCACCAGGTGATTACAACTTTCAACAACTGGTACTTGAAGATCTTTAAAGCTGGAGAATGAAGCCTTGATGATGTAATACTCAGTTATCAGCTCGTGGGAGGGGTGCAGGGTGAGGGGTGCAGGGAGAGGGGTGCGGGGTGCAGGGTGAGGGGTGC